TGGGCACTCTGATGGATTTCATTGGCCTGCTCTGTGTGGTCACAGAGGAAGTAGGTGCTGCTCTTCCTGTGCTGCAGCTGTATTTTTCTGCTTACTCGGACACTAATGTAACTTGTAGCAGGCTAGCTCGTCTAGCCTTACTAAATGACTCGCCTTAATCTTTGTATTTCTTCATTGTGACTGTCGCCTTTAGGTCTGGGAAAATAGAAAACTCTGATTTAGCCTCACCAAAGCTGTGTCCCTGCGGTCAATTCATTGCTCTGATTGTGTAGCATAGCCCCCCGATGCTAACGGTGGCTAACAAATAAGAGTAGCATATCACTGCGCTCATTTACCGGTTCATTTAAGCTTATTTTTCTACAATTAACTGCCTTTATTATCGAGGATAGTCACTACTAAGATAAAATGAGGTGCTGAAGGCGCTTATGTGAAGATGAAGTCTGCTATGACGAAAGAAAAGGAATTAGAAGAAGAATACAATGCGATCACAGTGAAAACAGAATGGGACTCAGAGCAGCAGAGCTCCTCCACTGAGGAGGATGAAGACTCTAATGAAGAACAGGCTGCCGATGGGTTTGATCTGAACGTTTTAATAAAGGAGGAGCCTCATCTGCTGGAGATCAGTGAGGATTACTGTGAGGACACATCGAGCTGTTTGGACACCGATGGCTTCCATCCAGAGGGAGACGTTAAAGTAGAGTCTGACTCCGATGGAGCTGTTGTGAAGGAGGAGGCAGAGTCCTGGTTTAAGGAGGAGAGAGGGAGTGAAGATGGGGAGGAAGAGGAGGATCTGAGGAGCATCCAGGAGGAGTTTGAGGAAGGAGAGGGGGTCTGCACAGGTATTGGCATGTAACTGTAAACAGGAATGCATATTTTTCAATAAAATCTATATCATCTTGCAGAAATGTTTCCACAACACATCTTGTAGGGATCATATGTGATAGACCAGGACACAGCAGTGCATTTGTGGATTATGACGCATAGTTTCCAAAATTCTGCAAAGTATGATGTGCTTTTGCTTTTTGCATCTAGAGAGGAAAATTTCTGTCCAGTCTCCTTTCTAAAATAGATTCAAGCTCAGTTAGACTATAATTATTAAGGTAATTTTGATATGAGTTGAATAAAGGGTCCTGGGTTCCATTTTAACAACAGAATGTGTTGATCTAAACTGTCACTTTGAGATTTTTCTTAATGAAAAGTGCGGTACAAATTGGATTTATTATTATTATTATTATGTTTACTGTGGCCTGGTGTGATTTAATCAATCAATGCTTCAGTCTTATTGTTTGGGGGGTTAAACACACACCTTTAGCTACAGTAAAACAATGCAACTCAAATTAGAAATCATTGCAATGTCAACATTATAAAGATAATATGTGAAGACTATAAAATGTAGTTTTATTTACCAGTAATAATCCATGATAATTGTATAATCATAAATTAGTGGAGAGTGGTGGCCTTGTGGTTAGGGCATAGCGGGCATCCCTAAAGTCGGTCCTCGAGGGCCGCTGTCCTGCAGGTTTTAGAGGTTTCCCTGCTCCAGCACAGCTGATTTACATTGATAGTTGATTAACAGGCTTTTGCTGAACTGCAATCATCAGAATCAGCTGAGCTAAAGCAGAGAAACCTCTAAAACCTGCAGGACAGCAGCCCTCGAGGAACGACTTTGGGGATGCTTAGCATAGAGCCTGGAATCCTGAGGTTCTCAGTGCAAGCCCCACTCCCACAGACCCCTTACTGCTCCCTGGGCGCCCCATGATGGCAGCCCACTGCTCCCCAAGGGGATGGGTTAAATGCAGATGTGAAATCAGTAAAAGTTCAGTTATTAAAAAAAAATTAAAAAGAGGAGGTCTTAAACCTTAATCTTATTTCTGTATGTGAACAGCTGAAACAAAATTTTTTTCTCTTCCATTTTTAAATATGTACCTTTATATAGAGTTTCCCACTGTTTCATTGCAGGGTCTAATAATGTTTTGTTGTTTCTGAATGGATCTCAAAGGATCCATTCCCATGTTATTTTCCTGTGCAGCATCATTGTTCCAGGATTACTTTGTATTTTACACCATCCCTCTTTCCATCCCCTCTGACCTGCTGAAGAGCATCAGTATCCCCTCAGTATTAAAGATTGTCACTACAACCATGCTTCGCTGTGGGGATGGTGCATTGAAGGTGAAGGGTAGTTTTCATCATAAACAAAGATCAGGTTTGTGAGGTGCAGTTTATACTTTCCTACCTGAGCTGCAGAGCTCTGCAAATGCTCCAGAGTTAACATGGGGACTCTTGGCTGCTTCACTTAAAATGGATGGTGACGCAGCAGTAAGTTGTATATCATTTTGTGTTGTGAGGTTAAATAACATTTTTATCTTGATGAACTCAGGAACCTGATGGTGGGATGTAAGTTTATTTCTGTCTCCTGAAATGTTTCTATCAATAAATTTCATAACACTATCAATTAATTTACTACCGGTATATGGAAATATAATTGAAAGCAATCGAGTGGCTCTGTTTTATTGATATATAGCACTGTTTAATGTAACTGCACTGAATAACCTCTGCTGCTAATAGGTTTTTTATTCGTTTTCAATTGTTTAATTGTCAGTAATTCTCAAACTGTATGTAGCAGCAGAGGCGTAGATAAAAAGTGCATTTTTTTACTTTTTATTATTACCTTTGTCATTATTCCAATAAATATCACAAAAGACTCTGATAAGACTTCATTTGCAGTTTGTAACTACTATACATTTCCATTAAAATACATTAGAGCAAGGGTCACCAGGGAGGGGCCCTTGAGGACCCCATGGGGGGTCCTCAGCATGTTCTGAAAACAACAACTCACCAGTGGACTAAGTTTGAAATTTTATTTTAAGCTGCTGTTATTATTTTTTTTATAATTTTTAGAGCATTTTTATCATATCAGTAATTAAGAATGTTAAAGCAGTTATAGGGATTTCAAAATCACAATATCTAAAAGCAAACTAGGAATGAAAAGAAACAAAGGAAATAGGTTTATTATTCAAAAAGTTTAGGTGAATACTGACTCCTCCAGTTCATAGGTCAGTATTGGTAGCAGGTCCTATGAAGTAGACCTCAGTCTTAAAAAGGTTGGTGACCCCTTCTGTATATAAATATATAAAATGACATACTGTAAAAAAAGAAAACTTAGAGGGTTGTAAGTGAATTTACACCTAACTGAAACTGGTTGGGTTAATATTTAACTATTGTTGCTCAACACTGTAAAAATAAAGGTTTCCTAACTAATATTGAAATAGTCACCAGAAAAAAGGGACAAAGGATGGAAAATTTATATATAGCAGATATTAAGATGCAGTCAGAAAAATCTTCAGACTAGTTGAAACCCTCCTTTACCACTGAGCCTCCTTTAATAGCGATGGGGTCTTTAGAATCAATGAACCCTAATGCACAGGGAAACATTTTCTGCTATTTTCTGTTTGCTCTATTTCTGAGTCTATATTCAGATTTCTTGTAGTGGCATTGAGGGACCAGCTCACTGTCTTTTCCACCTCTGTCATGTAAGATGTTTAACCTATTGAATCCACTAATGAACAACAAGCTTGCTGTTTATGTAACCTTTTAACACAAAAGCCATATGTCAGTGGATCAGAGGACCTGAGGGCCCCCAGGGGTTAGTTTGCCTGATGATGACATTAATATCTTTTTTTCAGTCTTTAACATTTGCAGACTAGGTAAAGATAAAAATTCTGTCCTGAATTGACCACTATTTAACAAGGTGTAGCCTCTTTTAGGTCACACTTTCTTTCTAACTGGGAGAAAGCTTACATAGGTATAATTGAAGTCGACTAGCAGGTGAATGGTATTTTGATTTCTTCACTGGACTGATAGAGGAGCTGGAAGAGTGGTTTTAATGTCCCTTTGACAAGTCCTTCAAAGCACTTCATTTTAGAAAAATTAGCCTCAGGTTGACAGTCGGACAGTTTGCAAATGTTTTCTCAGGCACAACTATGATGATAGCAGTAATAGTATCATTAAAAGCAACTATAAGTTTGGCAACACCGTCGTATTACCTGATTCTGTAGTTATATGACAACACAACATCAGAAATACTTCAAAAGCTATAGCCAAAATAAGCCTTAACTTTATTGTTAACATGTAATTGAACAAAATCAGAAATTTTTTAAATTATCTTATTGGAAAAGTCCAGCTCAAATACATTGTAAGCCCTTTTGTTGAAAAATAAGGCAATTCTAAATGTTTTTAAACGCATTCCCATTTATTCTGATATTTATTTTTTTAAACAAATCAATTTTTTGGAATAGTATATAAATAAAATAGTATTTTGCTGTCAAATTAAATCAGTCTATAACTTTTTTTGCCAACAAATGCGTTTTTGGTCAAAACAGGCTGCCAATTTGAACAGCCCAGCACGCTGCTGCCGCCATCTTTATTTGCTCTTTTGAGGATTTGTCTTTTTTTCTTTTCTTTTTTGTACTAAATATACCTTTTGAAAATGTGGCCAAATTTCCTCAGCCTGCTTAATATTCTCCCTTAATGTTTTGTGGTAAATGTTCTCCTGGTCTTTCATCAATGTTCCTTACTACTAAAATATCGGGATCCTTGATCATTAATAAGATTCAGGTTTTAGGATGTAAATTAGCAAATGCCAAGAAAAATCTATTCAGGCACGTGTTCATTCATTGATTCCTTGTAATTGATGGCAGGTGTGAACTCGGGAGACATCTAAATGAATAATTGCACACTATGAAAACCAGTTATTTAACCAGTTTTAATAGTATTAAAGATATCAAAAATATTTCCTCTTTTTCGCCCTCATTTTAGTCAAACAAAATTATGTGAATATAAAAAGTTTCAGTGTTGATTTTAGTTGTTGATAGGGGAAGAATCTTTTTATAAATTAAAAGGAACCACTTACTTTATGTCTAAGCAAGCAATAAGGCACGCACTCACACACTGATGGTGGCAAGCTACAGTGTAGCCACAGCTGCCCTGGGGCTCACTGACAGAAGCGGGGCTGCCGTACGCTGGCGCCACCGGGCCCTCTGACCACCATCAGTAGACAATGCAGGTGAAGTGTCTTGCCCAAGGACACAACAACACTAAAAGTCGGAGTCGGGGCTTGAACCGTCAATCCTTCGATTTCAGGGCAAACTCCTACATCCAACGCCACTGTCGCCCCAGTAATATTACCCATATTACAATGAGTATTGGTACTGCAAGTAGTGAAAGCTGGTTCTTATTTTGGATTTTCTCTTTAACTCTGCAACCGTCGTCATGTTTCATCTTTGAAGTAGTGTGCGCTCATCGTCCTCAATAAAAAACAATCTACACAAACCTACCCTTATGAGAAAAGCTAATTCCTTCTTAAACCTAATAACTAGCTATGAGATCCTCATGTTTAATAAGCTCTACTGAATGTTAATTGGCATTAACTCTTTTACATTAGTTATAGGAGTTTTTAGCTTGCCCTTATTTGCAAAAACTGTTTCAGTTTTAAAAATGAAATGGACATATCTTTACTGTAGCTTGTAATATTTGTTACTTATAGATGAAAATATGCAGAGAAAAGATTAATTTTTCTATCTTTTTTCTCTCTGTGTCTCTCTTTAGAGCTGTCGTCTGAGTTTTTTCCTTGCCCACACTGCACTATCTCGTTCACTGATTTGGATTTTTTGGAGAAACATGTCAAGTGGGTTCATCAGAAAGAGTATCTCGCTAACCTCAAAAAGAGTCTGCCAAACCATACTCTGACCTTCAACCCCAAACACGCCTGCTCTGTCTGCGGCTGCAACCTAAAATCCAAAGTCCACCTCAGCATCCACATGCGTGAGGCGCATCCCTCTGCTCCCCCCCGCCGACTTCATCCATGCCCGACCTGCGCTCGTAGCTTTCAGTACCTGAAGAATCTGAAGAACCACTGCACCCGCTGGCACAACATGTCCGTAGTTATCCGCGCGGGGCACCTCAGTTGTGCCGACTGCGGGAAGAGCTTCAAGGCCACCTGGGGTCAAGGTCGTCATATGTGTCACGAACCAAATGTTGAATCTGAGGATAAGCCGATCTGTCTAGATACTGGGTTGCCTTGTCCAGAGTGTGGCAAGAAGCTGCGTACACCTCAGAGTCTGGGGGACCACATGCGGACCCACACTGGGGATCGACCTTTTGTCTGCAAGGACTGTGGGAGGAGGTTTGGAGAGCGCAGCAGCTGGCGTCAACACATGAAAATACACACTGGGGACAGGCCGTTCAAATGTGATGTCTGTGGCAAGGCCTTCATAAGGTCTCACCACCTTAAGTCCCACTTAACCACACACTCAGGAAAGAAGGAATACTCTTGCCCTGAATGTGGAAAGGAGTTTGGATTCAAGTCAAGCCTAGATCTTCATGTAAGGACCCATTCGAGCGAGAGGCCTTTCCACTGCAACGTCTGTGGAAAGAGCTTCAACACACGGAGAAACCTGAGGGTTCACTCCAAACTTCACAACAACGAGAAAGCTCACCAGTGTGGGGAGTGTGGGCTGGAGATCAGAGATCTTGGGGCTTTAAAAGTACACTTACGAACGCACACCGGGGAGAGGCCCTACCACTGCACGGTGTGCGGCAACAGGTTCATTCGCCTCTCGCATCTGAGAAACCACCAACGCACCCACACTGGTGAGAGACCCTACAAATGTACTGAATGCGACAAGAGTTTCATTCAGTCTGGTGATTTGGTGAAGCACAAGAGGATCCACTCTGGGGAAAAACCCTTTGAATGTCCCGAGTGCCACCGCTGCTATACTTCCTCTGGTGACCTGGGCAAACACAGGAGGAGTCACACTAACCTGCGCCCGTACACCTGCAAAGACTGCGGCAAAAGCTTTCGCCTGTCGGGTCACTTAAAAACGCACATGTTAACCCATACGGGGGAAAAGCCCTACGCCTGCCCCAACTGCCTCCGTAGGTTTGCACGCTCTCACCATTTATCTGGACATGTTGCTAAATGTCGCTAAGCTTTTCTGAGAAGAATAAAAACGTTGATTAATTGAAGTAGAAATGTGAGCTGCATTCAAACTAACACTACAATTTGATAAATGTGATAAAGCTTTAACTTGTTATTAATTATTTATAAAAACACAGTAGAACTATGAAAACTCTAGAAACAATTGAACTGACTGACTAACCCCACTGCATGACACTTTTTGCAGAACTGCTGCAAGCCTTGTTTGTTCTTTATCCCAAATAGGTTGGAAGATGTTTTATAAAACACTATTTCAAAAAGGCTTGTAGATCCAGGGCTGCCAACTTTTCCCCAAATCTGGGAGTGAGATTTTCAGAGAGTCTGGACAGCTAACCCTTGTCACGGTTTGATCAAAAGGCTATGAGGATAGGTGAAGCTACAGGTTGTAGGCTTTCTGGGGTTTTAACTAAAACAAAGTGGGAAAATGTGGATTTTTTTTTTATAGCACAGTAAATT